ACAGAGAAACCCTGTCTCAGAACACAAAAACAAACAAACAAAAAGATTCACTGTAGGACAGAATGCTTGAGGGGGTCCCTGCAGGTGTCACACAGGGAAGCACCTCAGGAAGAGATAAGAATAAAAACCTAGGCAGATTGATTTCATCAACCCAGACCAGACTTCGGAGAGTCTAATAACAGGCAGTCTATTCCCAATGTATTTAGTCCAGTACAATTTGAAAAAAAAAAAAAAGTTTGCTGGTGTAATACAATCCCCAGTGCACAAAGACACATAATTACATTGAAACTCAACTCAGGGTACATATCATTTCTTCCAAGAAGATGGGTTCTAGAGATAGGCTACCTGTACTAGCTTAAAGGCCTAAGTGTCTGGCCTGGTTTTAGTCATACAGATAGCACAGAGGTCATGTGGGCTGTTAGCCACCTCTGGTCCTGGTTGTGGGCGCTTGGGGGAGCCTCTGGCTATTAGGGTCATTTAGATTACCAGCCACCTCCCTGTCTTGGTTGTAAGAGCTTGATATGGCCTGGTCCAACACAGAACACAGATTACCAGGCTGTTAATCATTTCCACTTCTCAGCTTTCTGGATGGAGGAACAGGTTTTTCATCTTTTGCATTGGAAAGACAGTCCTGTGTGCTTAGCATTCCTGGTTTCTCTGGAGATCTGTGGGCGCAAGGACTGTCATGCTATGTTCTCAACAAATGCCGTAGGCTGGCACTGTGGCACAGGCCTGTAATTCCAGCACTGGAGAGGTGAAGACAGGAAGGTCAGGAATTTAAAGCCATCCACAGCTACATCAGGACTTCAAGGAGCCCAACCTGGGCTATGTGAGACCCTGTCTCAAACCAACCAACCAACCAACCAATAGGAAAAACAAAAGTGTGCTATGTTACACCACAGCAGCCTTCTCCGCCTTGTTTTTATGTCTCGATTCCATCAAGAGGCCATGTGGAGTGGCTGCCATATGTATACAGTCTATGTTTGCATAAGTACCCTCTGATGCTTGCACAATGGAAAATTGCCTAATGATGCATTTCTCAGGTTGTAACTCTGCCAGATAAATGAAGGATGATGTCTCTCACAAGTGAGTTCACTTTTGACCTCAAACTGACTTTTAAAACAGAAGCAATTTGTTTATTTCTTCCTCCCTGGCATGTATTTAGGCTACCGCCCACCTTTCCCCTTTTAAAAAATGTCATTAAAGTGGACATCCTTGTACATACTACTTCTTAACATCTACATGGATGTCTCCTAGGGTGGGTTGTGATTGTGCATTTCAGAGTCAATAACTGGGTAGGGGATCTTATCTTATCTTATCTTTTTGTTTTGTTTTGTTTTGTTTTCCTAGAAAGGGTTTCTTGGCTGTCTTAGAATCAGCTCTGTAGACCAAGCTGGCCTCGAACTCACAGAGATCCACCTGCCTCTGTTTCCTGAGTGCTGGGATTAGAAACATGCCCAGCTAAGGGATCATTACCTTTTTTATATACTGAAATTGCTTAACATTTCTCCTGGAAGTTGTTTTGCTGTTTTGTTCTGTTTGTTTTTTAAAGATTTATATATTTATATTCTATTGTGTATGGGTGTTTTGCCTTCATGTATGTCTGTATACTACATGTATACAGTGCTCATGGAGGTCAGAAGAGGGCATCTGTGGTGGTTTGAATGAAAATGACCCCCTTAGACTCATAGGGAGTGGCACTATTAGAGGTGTGGCCGTGTTGGAGTAAGTGTGTGATGGTGGGTGGGCTTTGAGGTTTTAGAAGCTCAAGCCAGGCCCAGTGTCACTCTCTTTTTCTGCTGCCTGCCTATCAGGATCTAGAATTCTCAGCTACCTCTCCAGCACCATGTCTGCCTGCATGCTGCCATGCTTCCTGCCATGTTAATGGACTAAACCTCTGAAACTTTAAGCCAGCACCAGTTAAATGCTTTCTTTCTTTTTCTTTCTTTCTCTCTCTCTCTCTCTCTCTCTCTCTCTCTCTCTCTCTCTCTCTCTCT